AAAAAATGATTATAGCTTACATTGTTGCAGGATTATTAACGCTCTTTAAGACAAAATGCATGAGAGTGAATGCCCAACCTTACTAAACACCGGATACTGCCATGGCCGAACAAAATTCATGCGAAGAGTATTGGATATTGTTTCTAAGATGTTGTATGCTTATGCAAAATCAAAGATTGCCCTATATCCGTGTGTCAATTCCTCCCGGTGTCTCCTGTCACTGGCGGTTAGGGGGGGGGTTTGAAAATGTTTCATGTGTTGCCATGGCAACGTATTAAAGGTAGGATCTTGCGAGCAATGTTTATTTGGCGAAGGCTGATTGTGAACGACCGGATGAACAGGTGGAATTGAAATGCGGCGTGGCATTCTATGGATATTGGCAACAAAGCTGTTGGAAATTCAGTTTCGCGTGCTTAATCGCACAAGTATGATCACGTGACCGGGCACACACTTGCCTCACCGTAACACATTATTTGTGCAAAAGATTGTCGCTTGCCATGCCATGCCCTGTGCGTGAATGGGAGGACCAACACTTGGTGGATGCCGCATGAGGGGGTGAGGAATTGGAGGATCTGGAACATGACATCTAACAGTCCACACCTGATTGGTGATCAATAAGGGTTCACCGTGGGAAAAGCAGGATATGGGGTAGCGCAGTGGTAATTCTCAACCTGTTTTTGGCTACTGTATCCGTTGTAAAATTTTGTTTCAACCGACTACCCCCCTTGCCTGACCCAACATGGTTCTAAAAAAAAGTACGAATAATGAACATCAATATTTTAACAGATTGCCCATTTTGTGAGGTGTCCTGACTGGTATCTGCAAGCGAATAAAAAAATAAATTCAACGGACGCTCTGCACGCATACGATAATTTGTTCGCACTCTATGGTTACTCTTGGAAACCACATTGTTTACGATCAATGAGTTCAGAAAGGTCTTTTATATCGTTCCAGGTTACCATATGGATTGACAATTTTATCATAGATATTTAATATTGGCAGATTCATACATGAATATTCACCAATGACGCTCACGTACGATATAATTTCACGCATTTATAAATCACCCCACGTGCCTCCTGGGACATTACCACGCGTACCCCCCACCCCCCCCCGGTTGAGAACCACCGTGGTAGGGGGTCATCCGTGGCAGTGCTTCCTGGTGCATTTTCACGACTCTTCTCTCACCTTCCTCCCCATCTGCCTGAAATGGGCACGCAACTCTGAATTGCAGTACAGAGTGCCAGTCTCACTCGCACGTGAGACGACTAGCGTCTTAGCATCTCATATTTCCGGTCGTCTGCTGCTCTGGGCTAGATGTTGCATTCCAAATCATGTGTATTACAATGGCCCAATTTGCATTCAGGTTCTGCTGGAGTGCTGGTGAGTGTAGGCACGTACGCTGTGCTTTTGGGAAGAAGCGGAGATGCAGCGGATAGCGCATTGCACTACGATCACAGAAACTCAGGTTTTATTCGTGACCATGACACAGAAAGTCAACACTAAAGCCAGTTGCTATCTGAAGCTGCAAAACCCATCTGCGTAATGGATCACATCAGTTTGGAATGGAATGTGCTTGGATTGAGTGGGATTGGATCTTGTGTGGCATTGGGCATACCAGCCTCACTTGCTTATGAGGTTGAACTGGATTTTCTTCATGTGCGTTATGTGTGCAGTTTGTTGGGGAGCGGTAGTGTAGCGGTTAGTGCGCTGCGCTATGAACCCGGCGACCCGAGTTCGATTCCTGCTCGTGGCCAACACCGGTGACGATTATCTGAACCTGTTGAGGGCCTCCCCTAGGTCGACTCAGCCTCAAATTAGTACCGAGTGCAGTGTGTAAACATCGTCACTTGGGAGACAAAGGCGGCCGGGCGTGGTGCTGGCCACCCAGCCCCTCGTGCGCCGTCCCCATCTTTCATAGAGCGCTCGCTAAAAGCACTTCCCCCAATAGTCTGTTAAGGATATATGGAGGATCTTTGTCTTTTTTTGCACTTTGCTGAACGGATAAACTTCACCACGTGACTGCTTTTTAGATTTTTTTTCACGAAGCACAGCCCATTTAAGCCTTAAAGCCTCCTTTGTAATTGCTATATTTCACCTCCTAACCTTTGTAGGGGTTTTCTCGTATTATATGTGTATATTGTGCAACAGATGTCCCAATCAGCACGAATCCACTGAGATGTCTTTGATGCTGCTACGTGAACAATTGGGGTGGACATATTTGTGAAGTCACATTGGGCGATTTGAAAGCATAGACTATACATTTTTATTACAGGTTCATGGGAGTAGTAAATGATCGTCATGGCAACTCTACTCCTAACTTAAAAAAAACATCTGCCTATATCACTTGCTACAATGCGAGATTTTGTAAACCCAACGTAAATCGAGGGATAACTTTATTACTAATTTGCAGGTCTTGTGGTACGTTAAAAACTGCCCAATTTTGACCTGCTAATGTAAATAATTAAGCGAACAAAGAAGTGATTTTCTCGACTTGGATTTTTACCCGTAATTTTCCCGAGTTAAAAAAGTCAAAACGCCTGTGTGAACAAGTGGTACTCGTTCCCATTGGCAGCAAGTGCTGCACATTCCACATTACTACAGTACTACAAAATCACAGCCACGTTACGTAATTCGGGGGGGGGGGGGGGGTGATGGGCAGAGTTTATCCCAAGCTGAGACTTTAACTCCTGATGCCCAGTGAGGCACTGCAAAATTCCATGCAGCTGGATTAATTTGAACACACAATATAATTATTTTGATATACTCTTTCCTATATTCCGAGTCGTAATGAGTTGTTTTATATCAATATAAAATGCAATTTTAAGTGCAATGCCTAATGTGTTTAATTTATATGAATATTGGAATTGTTTTATTCACACTCTCCATGCAAAGGGTTGTACTCAAGATATGACCCCTTGCATTATACCATTTGTAACAGCCCAGTTTTGTCTTTAAGAAAACAATTGAATATCCAAGTTCCTTCTGTACCGCAATTATTAAAACTATCTCATTTGCCACTATGGGCAGTACATGACAGATCTTCCCTTCTGCTTCTCAAACGCTTGACATTTTCAGCATTGGGTCATACATAATTGATGACGGATCTTTGAAATCTACCACGGAAGCTTCATTTCATCCTTTCATTTAAAGGACAGGGCATTTAAAAGTGCTGCTCTAATCTCTGGTACACAAATGAGTGCTGGAAATATACCAAGTGATTTGGTTCTGCAGAAAACTAGAATGTTGAAAAGCAAGCAAAATATTATTTTTTTACGACATTTTTCTGGAGATTATATTCAGCATCATCAGGTGTTAACAATCTCTCAGCTCTCGCGAGGTGGGCTGAATTACGATTTACCTTTGTGAGTAACAGTAAATGAATGCAGTGTCTAAATGCAGAAATGCACTGCTTTGGTCACATTTCAAAAAGCATTGCTCTTTGAATGATAACGACAGGCATGTTGATATGTATGCTATTTACGAGTAACTTAGGGCCATGATGCCGCCTGTTGTTGATTTCAATAACGGCAGGGAAGAATGGCGAGCTCCTAGTTCACTGGTTTCTTCACTATATTTCAAATGGGTGGCCACTTTAGCCAATAAGACATCATCAGTTTGATGGCCGACACACATTTGAAGCCATTGGGGTCTGAGAGCACGGCGATCATGGGGTGTTTTAACTATTTGTGGATTGTCGGGGGGGGGGCTGCCAGTGGCTCCTGGTGGCCTTACAATGAAGAACACTGACCTAGAGTTTCACCTGCAGCAGATACATCGGGATTTTTTTGTATTGGTTTTTTTTATTTGACAAGAGCCTGGGACAGAACGCGAGCAAGACCAATGAAGAGCACGGGGGGGGGGGGGGGGGTGGCACATAACTCATGGGTTGGGGACTATGGGCTGGGACGTGATTTTTGTTGTTGTATGGGGAAGGGAAGTTAAGGGAGAAGGAGGGACAAAGTAAAGGGAGAAAGGGTGGGGGGCTGGCCTGGGGGAGTTAAAGATGAGAGACGCTCGCCAGTCTTCCGTCGAAACATTGACAGTGGAAATGGCTTTCGGAGGCCACAGCAAATGTGTCACCGAACTGATGACCTCATACGCTTCGCCATGACAGGGGATTTCACGTCCAGTTTGACAGAGAATGGGAAAATGTGTTTTTTAGCTAAATAAAAGTAATAATTTAAACCACATGTAAATGTGAAACCGAGCAAATTACTGCAACGTTCAAGATGAGAATGTGTTCGATGACATTTAATCCTGAAATGCAGATCATCTTTTCACGGCTGAGATAAGGTAGAGACTAGAGGAGCCAGACACTCATTGTCTGTCCAATGTCCTATTTTTGTTGACGGTTAGAATCCTGATACAAAAATCAATGCGGCTTCTTTGAATTTAATGGTATTTGTAAATAAATTATAAATGTGAACAATGGGTTCTAAATTAAAGAATATTTACAAAGATCAATAAATACTGCACATTATTATAAAGCTCAATCCCCACCCTACTTACCTATTACAAAAACATTCGGACTAACATTTGCAACAATAATAATGTCTTGAATAAAACATAAATAGGATGGATTTTAATGGTGCAAATTAATTCAGCTACCGAGGGAAGGTGGGGGGGGGGAGACACGTCGTTGAAGCTTGTTATTGAAGTCCATAGGGGTCGACATTCGAAGGTTTAAAAATAAACAAAATGATGATGAACACTCCCGTTTGCCGTCACTGTGCATTACTGGGCTGCTCCGATGCTGCAATGGATATCGCTGTGATGGAAAAATAACACACACTTTGCCAATTCTCACCACTCAGCCCGAATCCGACGTGTGAATGTTTTAATGCCCATGGGCGGGTGCGGGGAGGGGGGGTTGGGGCTCAAGGGGTTTACCCAATTGATGCCGCTGAACAGCAGGCGTGGTGCTGCGGGGACTCGTTGGGGAAAGGAGGGCTAGCGCGGAAACTGGCTCCTCTCACTATGGCGCGTGTCGTCCGCAGGTGCGGCCAGGCACAGCGGTGGCCGACGCCCCCGGCACGGAGTCCCCATGTCGAGCCGCAACACCTCCCCTGCCTCCTCGCCCAGGTGAGTGTGCCTCCCTGCGAACCGTCACCCACTTATTTCTCTTCTTCTGTATGCCGTTTTTGGGGATTGCAGTGTCAGCCAGCTCAGTGCTCGGACCTTTGAACCGCAGTGCCACCTCAAAATTGCCAATTACTGCAGTGATTTTTAAATGTTAAATTACTTAAACATACGAATGGAACCATAAATGAGAGAATTCTAAATTTGTATTAACTGAAATTAAATTTAAAGTCCGCATTACAGGCAGCCCTCAACTTATGAACAATGGGTTACGTTCCTGTGACCCGTTCGTAAGTCGATTTGTTCGTATTTCAGAACTCAATATTTAATTGTACATCCCGTCACTTTTATAACAAAAAAGGGAAGCATTGTTAAACTCGTAAATAAGAAATCTTGTACATTTCCATGTAATACTGTAATACATAATGTATAGTAAATAAAACATAAAATAAAGTACCCATGAACAGAAACAAAAAAAAAATCTGTTTTATTTTCACATACCTTGAGTCCTGAAGCTGGCTTGCTTGTGGGAAGGGGGGCGGTACACTGTTGCTGTGCATCACGCGGGATGCCGGCACTCGTTGCACCTTGCAGAGGATCGCTCCGTCGAACAAATTAGTTCCACGGTTCGGTTCGTAAGTATGACCGAACGTTTGAAAGTTTGGTGGTTTGAAAAAAATAACATCTTAAGGGGGTTTGTTCGTGAGTGCGGATGTTCGTAAGTTGGACGTTTGTATCTCGGGGACTGTCTGTACATAATTAAGTATATGAATGTATTGCAATGCATACGTGAATGGTAAGCCATTGCTATCCCATTGGTGCTGTCAGGTTTGCTCTGTCTTTCTGGTTTCTACCATCTCCTCCGCACCATCGCGTTTATTTTTATTTTTTGTCCGATCTTTACGGCCTTTCTCATTTACTCTTTTTTGTGCTTCTTGTCTCATTTTTATTCTTTGGTGCCTCATTTGTACTCTCCCAATGTCTAACACATCCGAAGCATGACTGCCGAGGGCCACTTTCTACACGTTTGGTGCAGAACGCGGCTAAATATTATTGCGTGCCTATCACGTGGACTCTGTCTTAAAATGGCCGTTGCTCGCATTTATTTGTCTTCTTAGGAAAACGCCCCAAGTTCCCATCAAGGGCTCCCCAAAGCGCAAGGTGTCGTCCGGCGCTCAGCTGGGTCTGGATGCCCTACCCGGAGGGACCCCCAAGCGCCTGTCTGTCCCAGAGGTGTCCCGCTTGGCTCCGGGGCCCGGATCGGCCGAGTGCTGCAGCGCCGGAGCGTGCAGGAGCTGTGACACCAGCCCCAACTTCAGGTTCGCTCCGTCCACCGCGTCACCCAAGCGTTGAGCAAACTCTCCCGACGATGTCGCTGGGTTTTGTTCCGATTCCTCTGGTTTGCTTCCTTTGCTGATGTTGCTTTAGTTTTTGTTTTGGTTATTTTGGTGGCCCAGGTGACTCTTGCAAATGAGTCATCATCCCTGGCCTCTTTGAGTTATCACCCTGGTCACACGAAAAAGACTTGAACGGCTGTTCAGATGCACAGTGTGTCCTCGAATAACGTGGAACGAAATGGATGTACAGCGTTCCGCACGTGACAGGAATACGTTTTGTCAAAGGGAGTTGCTGCTCAAACGAGCATTGAGAGGATGCTCATCTACTGCATGCAGCCCTAAGCCGGGGTTATAAATTCCACATTCATATGGCAAGGGGGCGAGTCTTTCCATAGATATAACCATAATTGACTCTCCCACAAAATGTTAGTTATTTCACCAACCCCAGAGGGATGATGAGTCCATAGTTCCATAGTTTATTTATTTTGGTATAGCCCTGTGAGCCATTCGGCTCTTGAATCGGGTGCAACCGCAACAAACAAAAACATGAACAAGAAAACACAACCCGGATTTGAACTCGCAAACTTCTGGTCGCAAGTCGCTCGCTGTACCGCCAAGCCACCTGGCCGGATTCTATTCATGGGATATTTTGGGACACCCTAATAAATATGGAAAAAGAATTGTCAAATTAAAGATCGCATTCCAGAAGATCAAACATCGAGCCGTGTGCAGAGCGATGCCCGCTTGTGGTTCGCTGTGTCTCCACACAGAAGCGCCACACACCAGGCATGCCCAGTGGAACACCGCACTACGCAGTAACTACTGCAGCGCTGGAGTGTTTGTGCTCTGGAATATTTGGTGCTTGAAGTGGTGTTCTTAAAAAGTTTATGTCATCTTGCTTTTCATGTAAAAACGCAATGTGAATAACATTACAAGTTGTAACTTGGTTACATTTGATATTCACAGAAATATGCTGGGTTTTTTTTCCATAACCGCCTTTTCCTGGCGAGCGAGCATACGGCACCTCAACGCCCACGGGAAGGGAGTATCACAACATTTCTGTGATCCACCAAGCCTCGCTGCCTCCACGGTGCTGTACAGGCATACCTCGAATAATGCCGTTTCCTTATCGCGCTCTTTGTCCTGGAGGAGAATTTCTGCGTGAGAACGCGTAGCTTTCTCCGAGCCGCTCGCTCAGCCAGCGCGAGGGAGGTGCACACGCTCAGTGATGCCGAGCCAACCGGCGCCTCCGACTCCGCCCCATCAGCCCTGACGCCACGGTGGCTAGGAGATGTTATCTCCCTCGCCTGGTATACAGGAGGTCGTGGGTTCGATCCCGACCCTGACGCCTGCTGTATATTTGGAGTTAACATGTCTCTCTCCCCGTGCTCGCTCCACATTTTAAAACATGCGTTTAGAGTATTTGGCTGCTATAAATGTCCACATGATAAGCCACTTTGTTGAGCTATCATTTGTGGCAAGGTTGCCTCTGAAAAACAGCTATATAGCTCAGTGAGCCTTACCTGGTGAAATTAAAATAGTTTTCAGCCTTGATCGCTCGACCTTTGGTAACTGTTTTTGCTTCATTGTGATGACATTTTTGACCCAGAATGTCTGGAAAAAGGCCTGCAAGTGATAGTGCTGGTAATGTGGCTAAACAAAGGAAGGCATCAGTATGGATGGAAAAATGCAGGTGGTTATTTTACACAAGCTCTGACCAAATGCCCTGGTGAGTACATTACTTATTGTATCTTCATCAAGTAATTTTTGACGTATAAAAATTATTTAATACATGTATCATGTGTACAGTATCAATAGTAAGGCTATTACCGATACCCCAATTAAGCCTTCATATATCACTCATAGTTAAAAAAAATAGTGCCATCAGTAACGTATCTCCATTGGAACCATGTTATAGTGATCTATAGCGCTGTTTCTTACAGCGCTGTACGTACACTTCTCCATTGGAACCATGTTATAGTGACCTCCTATAGCGCTGTTTCCTATTGCGCTGTCGGTACGCATCTCCATTGGAACCGTGTTATAGTGACCTCCTATAGCGCTGTTTCCTCCAGCGCTGTCGGTAACGTATCTCCATTGGAACCATGTTATAGTGACCTCCTATAGCGCTGTTTCCTCCAGCGCTGTCGGTACGCATCTCCATTGGAACCGTGTTATAGTGACCTCCTATAGCGCTGTTTCCTCCAGCGCTGTCGGTAACGTATCTCCATTGGAACCATGTTATAGTGACCTCCTATAGCGCTGTTTCCTCCAGCGCTGTCGGTAACGTATCTCCATTGGAACCATGTTATAGTGACCTCCTATAGCGCTGTTTCCTCCAGCGCTGTCGGTAACGTATCTCCATTGGAACCATGTTATAGTGACCTCCTATAGTGCTGTTTCCTCCAGCGCTGTCGGTAACGTATCTCCATTGGAACCATGTTATAGTGACCTCCTATAGTGCTGTTTCCTCCAGCGCTGTCGGTAATGTATCTCCATTGGAAGCATGTTATAGTGACCTCCTATAGCGCTGTTTAATACAGCGCTGTCGGTAACGTATCTCCATTGGAACCATGTTATAGTGACCTCCTATAGCGCTGTTTCCTCCAGCGCTGTCGGTAACGTATCTCCATTGGAACCGTGTTATAGTGACCTCCTATAGCGCTGTTTCCTCCAGCGCTGTCGGTAACGTATCTCCATTGGAAGCATGTTATAGTGACCTCCTATAGCGCTGTTTAATACAGCGCTCCATTTACCAGCAATGCATCCTGAGCGCTGCAAGAGGTATGCCTGCAGTACAGGCCCCATGTGAAGCCACCGCCACCGCTGCCGCCCGGCTAACAACAAAGTGCTGCGTGCGTGGTTGTGTTGCGGAGCAGCCGCCGGTGGAAGTACCTTTCGTGCAGCGAGAACCATGGAGTGCGCGCGCCCGCCCCCGAGCAGTACCTCACCCCCCTGCAGCAGAAGGAGGTCGCCATCCGCCACCTGCGCTCGCAGCTGCGGGACACGCAGGGTCAGCTGGACGACAGGTGCCGTCACCACATACGAACGCCCTCCCATAACGCTGACACACACACACACACTGGGCTTGTGGAAGGTGTTGTGTGCGAGTGTGATGGTGGTGTCTGCGTTGCCGAGGGTTGGCTCTCTGCTATAATCGCTCTGTTTTTGAAAGTCGGTACGAAGTTTTTAGGAGTAACAGATGGAAAACATCCAGACAAAAGCACAACGTGATTTTTTATCAATTTCCAAGGCGACAGTTGAAAACTCCCATCTACCTTATTCTAGTGCGCTTGCAGCTGCTACTGAACGCTGCATCGCTGAACTGGAGGGCAGTGACCGCGTTAGTAGGAAAAACCCTTTGCAAGCAAACAAAAGACTTTCTTTAAAAATAATTAGGAGGGTAAATATTTACATCGCATTACGTTATTTCAGGTGCGCTGTTGAAAACATTCCGAGCGCGATGTTCCCCCGCACAGGGAGAGTGAAGTGGAAGAGATGCGGCTGCGGATGCTGCGCATGCGGGAGGACTGGGTGGACGGGGAGTGCCACCGCATGGAGGCTCAGCACGCCCTCAAGGACGCCAAGCGGGAGATACGGCAGCTCAAGTCGCTGGTCGACCTCATGAAGAGCAGCCTCTCCGGCAAGGAGAGGAGCGTGCAGAAGTACTTCATCGACATCAACATTAACCAGAAGCGGCGGCTGGAGAGCATCTTCCACTGCATGGAGGTGGCGCAGAGCACAGCCGCCCACGGGGAAGCCCAGGCCGCCTCGTCGACGCCCTGCTCCCCCAAGAGGGCGCTGCCTCGGAGGTCCACGTACACGAAGCTCTCGGACAGCGTGTGCGTGGGCGCGCCGTGCGGTGGCAGGCAGGCGGCAGGAGGGGCGGTGCTCGTGACGGACCGTGCCATGTGGACCGGGGACGACGACGGCGACTACGACGATGAGCGGCTCGCCGTCCTGGACACCGGCTCCACGGAGGGCTCGGACGACGTCGTTTTTGAAAGCTTGGCCAACTGCCGCGATCCGTTTGCCGTTCCAGCGATAGCATTCGGCCCCGCCGCAAGTCCCCTTTCTGGGATGGTTGTCCGAGAGCGTCTGAGCAGTGCGGAGATGGTCATCTGTTTGGAGCGGGCAGTTCAAACGGACGAAGATATTTACGAAACACCTGGGCCCCAAGATGTGACGTGGCACACAAACGGTGGTGCGTTCGGAGACGACGCCTCCCGCCGTTCATCGGCAGGACACGATTGCTACCACTTGGAAAGAAGGGGTGACACGAACACGGCAGGAAACAACAGCCTGGAAATGGGGCAGGTGTGCCAGCAACAGAAGTGGGCAACATCCGAAAGCATTAGTCGCTTGGCGGAATCTAAACTTGAGGCGGTCATACAGAAAATTGACGAAGTGTTCAAGCGTGAAAGCAAATCAAGGCATGCATCGCAGTCGGACGCCGTCGAGAAGGCGCAAGAAGCTAAAGAAATTAACCGCAATCATGACGATCGGGAATGTGAAGAAGCGCAGCCAGACGATGCGTGCCTCACGAGATCCCCCTTATCGGACGAGAAGCTGGCGTCTGACGACACAACCGGGGAGTTCACCGCCCCTTGCAGGTCCTACAGCAGGGGCACCATGGGCAGGAGCTGCAGCCTGAACAACATGGAGCGTCCCAGCCCCGAGCCGCGGCCCACGCGACCCGACCACGTGTGCCTGGATGTGAACGCGTGCGCCAGCGCGCTGCCCTCGGACAGCCCCGACGGCGGAACGCTCGACTCCATGGAGGAGGACGCCGCCGCCGCCGCCGCCGCCGCCCCTTCCTCCGAGCCCACAGGGGGCCGGGCCTACTGGAGTCGCCACCTCCTGCTGGACACGCTGGCCATCGCCGGGCCAATGCTGCCGGCCGTCGCCTGGCTGCTCGGCAGCAACCGCGGGCGCGGGATGCCCTTCTTCAACCTGCCGGGGCTGCTGCGCGGCTGCTGCGTGCTGGCGCTCACCACGCTCCGCTCCGTGCCCCAGTCGCTGCTGTCGCCCATCTGTCACTGCGCCCGCCCGAAGCCTCCCGACGTGGGCAACTTGGAGCAGCCGCTGTGAGTCGAGGGGGGGGGCGGGGGGGGGGGGGGCTTGCGCCGTGCGAGTGGTGGGCAGGCCATCGGCCGGTTGGTGTTCGTCTGCGTGGCCATCGGGAGCTATGCAGCAGCACTTTACCCAGTCTGAGACCTCCGTAGGAGTGGAGTGAGAATGTGACGTTGATGTGAATGCATTTTGTGTCATGCTTTTTGTTAATCTTATTAAAAACACCTCCAGTTCACGATATCCTAAAATATGAATTAAAAAACAAGTCCATCCGTTGTTATATGTAGCAAGTTTTAATAACCAGGGACGTGCGGTCAGGGGAGGCAGGGGAGGCGGAGCCTCACCTGTCATACTCCAATGAAAATAGCTGTTACTAAAACAAAAAAATTCACATTTTTCCACTGATCTGTTATAAATGTAATTTCTGTATGATTCCAAACATTTTTAGAGACAAAATCGCCAAATTTGCGGAGCTCCGCTGAAAATACAGGAAGAGACGAGAGGTGAGGCAGCGACGAGCTCAGCCTCCCCTCTGATTGCGCAACCCCTCAGTAACTGGATGGAGCGCGGGCAATAAGCGTGTGCCTGTTACTATCTCAGTGTGTCACCAATGTAATGTTTGTAGACCCCTTCATTTCATGTCCTCGTCTTCCATACTCCAGGTAACTCATTTCACCTATGTGTATAAAGATATTTCGCCTCGCTGGTCTCGTCATGAAACTGCAACGAAAAAGCACCAGGGGAGGCAGCTATCACATCTGCCTCACTGAGGGGGACGTGTCTAACACGCCCCCCTCAGTGAAGCCACGCCCCTCGCAGTGAGGCCACGCCCCCCTCTGTGTGAATCTGGCTCTGACACTAGCCAGTGCCTTCCCAGCCATTGACCTCACCGCACGTCACTGTTAATAACGTGGATAAAAGTTACAAGTTTTTCATTTTATTATGCAGGATCTAAATTATAGTGCTAGCAAGGTATACGACCTTGATTTCACTCGATGTCAAAAACTGCATTGGTCCATTTGTGTGCCTATGGATCACGAGCCGCTGGCTTAATCTGCAGGTTAAACTGCACTGGTTTTGCTTTCTGCATATTTGTTCCCTCCTCATAATCTGCAACAGCTTTTGTGTCAAACGCAGCAAACCTCGTCGGCGATGTGTTTTTGTCGCACATCTTCACTGCAGCAGGACCCCAATGTTAATCTTCCGTGGTATGGGGTAACCATATCGTCGATCCCGTATTCCGCGGAAAGTTTGTTTGCACCGCCGCCGTGTGCCGTGGGTCAGAACCCACCCCCCAGTGATTTGATTATCGCGATTCGTAGTCACGATTACATACAAAAAAAACGATCTAACTTGCGATTTCCCTCTCCCTCCCCCCCCCCCCAAAGTTGATGAGGTGAGAACTCCCGAGACCAGGACAGAGTCTCACAGGCTCCACCTAAAAGAAACCCCACCACAGGCATTTAGACTGAGGGCATCGTCGCTAAGGTCACAGAGGTCACGGAGATCTTCTCTGAGAATAAGCCGTTCGGCAGCGCGGCAGCAGCTCTCCCATCGCTGCCTTGCAGGTGGACAGTAGAATGCAGTCGTGAGTACAGTACATAAAACTTACGGATAATATGAAGCATTTCTTATTTATTTATGACATTAAATTTTGATTTAAAGCTTTCGTGACTGCAGTAATTCATATTCTTAGTTCTTTCGGTAAAGTCACGTTGAAGGGAAACGTCGTGAGAATTTTTATTGTTTTATATATTTTTTATTATTTTGTTGTTTCCCTTCAACGTGACTTTACCGAAAGAACTAAGGATATTTATGACCTTGTTTGCCATCTGTATTGTTATTATCAGCGCTGTCACCGATGCCCCCATGAAGCGCTCATTGTTTGCTCGTACGAAAGAAATGACGCTGCTGTCGGGAACGCGTCCCCACAGATACGATGGTATCACGAGCCCTTTGAGCGCCAATTCGATTAGCGCTGCTCGCTTCTCCAGGAAGGCATCTTAAGCGCTGGGCGCGGTCTGCATTTGCATTCGTAGATTATGAAGTTACTCGATTTTTTTATTTTTTTACCCCCAAATGAAGTATACGTGCCGTATCGGTCCATGTTAAAGAATTTTATTTGCGTTTTTTTTTACTTGATATCCTAGTGTAAAAATCAATTTTTACTCAACACATCACAGCAGCACAGCTGTTCTATGCTGATGCATGAGAAAACAAAAATGCACTTAACGTTTGTCTCCCTGAGCACCGTTTGTCCATCTGCATCCTCGTCTGTCAATCTGAATTTCCGCTCTTCCCCTTTGCAGCCGACTTTTTGCAGCTGCAGTTCCCTGCAGCTCTGTCTCTTTGCACCTCCACTTTTGCCTCCATCTGCACACGTGTCACCTGCAGCTTCCTTCTTGGATCCGCACGTCTCACTATCGTCTCAGACAAGAAGCGTTCTCACCGTATCATCTCGCGCGTACATGTCGGGAGTGCGCAGACTTCCACAATGTAAAATAAAAGTCTATTATAATTTTGACGACAGTAGTATAGTGTGACGAAAAACTCCTGGAACAATTGAACGACCATCTCATCAGTACGTCTCATAATAACAATGCATGACTGTAATGGCTTTGTTTAGTTTGTGTCTGTGCAGTTCACCTTTTTGCCTCGATCTGCAGCTCTGCTATTCTCTCTGCAGCTCCGTTTGTTTTTCTGCAGCTCCGTTTGCCTCTTTAACATTGCAATTTACTTCAGACGTAAGACCAGTTCGTTACTTATTTGCAGCTCAGCCTCAATGATCAGGGTATGATCCGAACACACTCTGTGAGCTCTGTACTGCAGGGTTGATAGGTGGCACGAATTCAAATCTACTCATTTACCCGAGGCCACTTTTTTTGTGGGAACACGGTCGCGGCCAAAGAACCATCCACGTTTTTATTTTTGCCATAACATCCAAAAAGGGGAAATTCTTTGTTAAGTTCCAATCGAACGTAAATTTAATTCTTGAAAAACAACATTACCGATTTTAGGGTCAAAAGCAGTAAGCTTATACCAAAAGCATCATCCACAAAAGGATCCCAGAAAGTCGGAACGAGTTCAGTATCAGGTTGTGTTGTAGGTGTAAAAACCCAACTTTCAAGTTCCTGGAGTACAAGATAAAATATAATATATAACCTGAAGGTTAAATTTTGATTTAAAGCTTTCGTGACTGCAGTAATTCATATTCTTAGCTCTTTCGGTAAAGTCACGTTGAAGGGAAACAATAAAATATATATGAAGGTTTTAAAACTGAATGTATATGCGTTATCTGTAATGTATCAAACATTTCATTCAATGCAGGTCTATGGAAATTATACAATTCTAATTACGTAAAACTGATTTGCTAACTGGTGGATTTAAACACGCGCGATTGTGCTGTTGCCTATCGGTGTGCTAGAGCAGGAAGTGCTTCCGCCACATTCTGTCGCCGGGTAGCGCCGGAGTTTAAACGAGCCCAGTGTCGGTGGCCGTAGCGCGAATCCTCGTAGGGCGAGTGGCAGCCGTGAGGTCCGCTGGGTTTCACGTCACGCGCGAGGAGGCGCGGACGGGCGGTCGGCCGGGCGAGAGCAGCACGCTCCGTGACGGCCTCGTCGTCGTCGAACGTGCGGACGCTGCTGCGGAAGGGCACCGCGGAATCCCTCCCCACCGAGGTTGCTTAAAAAAGGCCGTCCGGTGGGATTCAAATGCGCGTGAACCCCTGGGGGGCTGCTCGTGTGCGAATTGCATTCACAAAGCGGGGGGCAAGCGACAGATTGTTTCCGCTTTAATGTTAATGTGAAAAAATACGTTTTAAGTGGTCCTCCACAGGATTTGTTGTCGAAGTTAAATTCCGAAAGTGTCATTTCCACGCCCACCGTCTTTCTAAGCTATGCAACGGTCTCTGTGCTTTGTGTCCTTGACAATTGTCCTGCCGTCGACAAACGTAAACACGGCTACGCGGCAACGTACTGTGACATCCGCTTGTCAGGGTATTCACCGGCATCGATCAGTCTTCATTTTTCAGCTCTTTTTTTTCCCCATCCTTTAATGTGACGGAGTCTGCTTGCTTTGGGCTGAGGCTGAGGCGGACGTTCGCTTGACATAAACGGTGACATAAATGGATGTTAGTGGCGATCGGTGGCTATTTGTGGTAATGAAAAATAAGGGGGCACTAAAAGCAATCCGAGTGTGTTTCGAACTTGACCTGTAGCTCCTCCGTATAATCCATCCACATCTCGGCACACCTCTTGCACTTAAAATGTAGTTGGGCTGTCCATGTCAGGAAGTGCAATTCCCCTAAGGTCTTGAAGACGGTCATTCCACATCGCTCGAATACCAGTACTCGGGACACGGTCTGCACATACCGTTAATCTGGTATGAGGGCACGTGGAAGTGTGTAAATCTGCGAGAATTGTAAACCCGCAAGGCAGCGATGTGACCAGGAGATGGCAGTAAATCAAGCGGATGTATGAACCCATTTGTGCGGAGTGTCATACCCTCGTACGTACCTGTGGGCTGTCTCCGGGTGCTCCGGTTTCCTCCCACATTCAAAGCACTATAAAGAGGAATTGGCCAAACATCCCAATGCAGGACACTCCTGAAACTTTTTTTCCTGAGACTCGTGAGAATGGCGAATGTGTACATGTACAGCCCCTTGTCAATCCGCTTCTTAATGCCACGTGGGTCATGCACCAATGATCTTGGTGGGTTGAAGAAGGTGGACAATGTAGATGCAGGACCATAACCGCCTGTCATGCATTGGAGGTCGCCCATCCAAGCACTATCCACGTTCGACCTCGCTTTTAGCTTCCGAGATTGAACGAGATTGGCAGCATTCCCGGTGATCACAGGTCTGGATAAATGTGACATTGCAGCAGAATTCCAATAATCCGCATTGACACGGTGGGGGGGGGGGGGGGGGCGCATCGCGGGTGCACGACGAACTGCGGGAGTTGTATAATCCAAGTGTTCGTGCCAACGCGGTGCGTCGCGGATTACAGGGAGACAATAGCCGCGCGTGCCTATTAATCCATAAGTAAATAGCGGACTACAAGGCTGATTGGTGGTGGTGAGCTGGTGGTGGTGAGATGGTGGCGGTGAGATGGTGACGGTGAGATGGTGGTGGTGAGATGGTGGTGGTGAGCTGGTGGTGGTAGTGAGCTGGTGGTGGTAGTGAGCTGGTGGTGGTGAGATGGTGGTGGTAGTGAGCTGGTGGTGGTGAGATGGTGGTGGTGAGATGGTGGTGGTGAGATGGTGGTGGTATGGTGGTGGTGAGATGGTGGTGGTATAGTGGTGGTGAGCTGCGTGGGTGTGAGCTGGTGGTGGTGAGATGCGTGGTACTGAGATGGTGGTGATGAGCTGTATGATGGTGAGCTGCGTGGTGATGAGCTGCATGATGGTGAGCTGGTGGTGGTGAGCTGTGTGGTGGTGAGCTGCGTGGTGGTGAGCTGGTGGTGACGAGATGGTGGAGGTGAGGTGCGTGGTAGTGAGCTGGTGGTGATGAGCTGGTGGTGTTGAGCTGGTGGTGGTGAGCTGGTGGTGATGAGCTGCGTGGTGGTGAGTTGCGT